AGACAGAGGAACTTTTACATTGATTTAAACAACTGAAATCCTGGAGCTCGTGAATTTTTTTCTGTCTCTTCTAATATATAGGATGAAATTGTGGTTTACACTTGTTTCAAGGAGCAATTTAAATGTCTGAACATTTTCCCTTTTATACCAGTCTAAGCTCACATATCTTACTTTGTTATGCACATTTCCTCAACATAGTAGCAGAAACTGGGTCTTTTGAAGTGATGGGAGAGTCCACGGTCACCAGAAAGCCATTACTTTTGACCAGTTGACTTCCTTGACTCTGTATTGCTAAGTGCAGCCTGTCCCAGACTCTCTGCCTCTAGCTTCTAGCGCTAGGCTTCTTCATCACTTAAAAGAAGTTAACACAGAACAATCACTGTAGAAACATGTCTGTCTTTGCCCAACGCGCCTTTGCATTGCAAATTCCAGCAAGCCAGTAAGCTGCATACAGGATTTTGGCTGCCAGGAGAAGAGTGAAGGCAGCCATTTTGGAGGCAGCTGTTTTTACAAGATTACTGAGCAGCTGTATCTGTTTACACAGTTTCTAGACATAGAACCCATAGATAATGCTCTACCATGTATACATGCACAACGTCTGTGTTGCTTCATAGGGTCTCCTGGTAGTGCTGGATGTTAGGGAGCATTTAAAATAAGTTTCACACAAGCATTCTCTTTTTTTTTGTGTCTATCAAAACACCTTTAAATAAGTACAGGAACAAATAAGGTCTTCCTGTTTCAATCTAGGGATGTACTAGCATCATGTAATTTACATCTGACACACTTTCCAGGACTGACAGAGTCTGGGTGTGAATATGTCCTTGGGCACCGTCAGAAGCACATGGTTTAAGTCAGGGAAAGGCAACCATCCCTCTGCAGAGCTGTTCTTACAGCTCTGTGTTTTTGGAGTCATTATGTTAGAATAAATCAGAATAAAAAGGAGGACCCTCAAATAGTTTCAAGGAACTGAGCCAGAGAATACATCTTGGTAGGGATTTCTCAGACATAACTTATGGTTCTATCTTTATTGTCTATGTTGGCAGTCAGAATGAAAGTAAAGTAGGAGTAGTTTCAACAGCTCTGCACCACTAGAGGATTGCATTTTTTTTTTTCCCCCAGAGGAATCTGCAAGGGCCATGCACCCCACCTCACTCATCAAGAGTCCTCTCACAGATCTAACTGCAAATGGTGGCAGTAACTACCATAAGAAAGACAGACATCTTCAAGGAGATTATAATCAATCTGACTATTTGTATAATACACTGTATTAGAAAAAAAAATTGTATATCAGAGGTAGTTCATGAGCTCAGTAAAAGAGTCAGTTCTGTCAGGTTTGAATTAGCAGAAACCACTCAAGGTAAGTTCAGACCTGGATCAACTCTGAGATCTAAATTGCAAAACTCTACTCCTCACATCATTACATTTTTTTTTTCTCAAATCAATACTAAGATGCAGAGAGATTGCAATGGAAATGCCAGCATGGTGGTAATGCCCAGTTGAGCTGCAGATGTTGTGCAGCAGAGCAGCACCGAAAACAACCATGTGTCTGGAACGACGATACGAGTACATAATTTTAAAATTACCAATTTCAGGGGGTGTGACAGATGCATTCACAAAGTTTATTCTGGTTATCAAACCATTGCTATAGTTTCCATTTAAATAAGGAAACTTCATTTCTAAATTAGGAAATAGCCTTCAGTGTGTGCTCACTGTATTTAAAACACACTGAAATTACATGATCTGCATATAGATTTTACGCTGTCTGTAACTTGTCCTTCTAACTTTACAAACATTTCAAATTACTTGGCCAGGATGGGTGCCTTAAGATGAATTTGCCTTTTTTCAAAGTACATTCACACAAAACATCAAAGCAAATTTTAAATACTTAACAGGTTTTGAATTTGGGGTTTCCTCTTGTTCCGTTGATAACCTTGGTTTTGTTTTAAGTACCTTCAGTGATGTGTATTTTTACATCTTTTGCAGTTTGAATTCAGTATCTAATATACCCTTCTACAGAGGTTAAGAAGTATACACTAGCACTGTATCACACCTTATTCTTTGTCACCTGCAGACAACGCAACAGCTGCTGCAGAGATGCACTGGGAGACAGTGTATAAAGAATTGGATGAATGGCATAGAAAATATGTCACTGTGATTACTTTGAACTCTGTAATAAATACTCTCCACAGAAATAAATCTAGGTGGGAGAAATGCCCCCTGGAATGTCTTTACCCTGCACATGCACACATGCATTACCACCAAGAAATCACTCATGAGAGCCTTGGCACTGAAGCACTAATTTATATCAGTTGTCCAAAATGCCCCAAGGAACTGGGCCTTTAACTTGAGACGTACCTGACAATCAGTCTAGGAGAAACTAGATTTTGTCTCAGGGTGAGCACTTGTCTGGATGTTTTTGTATCCACCTTTCCAAGGGCATGTTCCTCACAAAATGCTTGGAATGCCCTTCCCTTTGTACAGGCAAACTAGGACAAGACAGCTTAAATGTGACTCATTATTTAAGGAACACTTCAAGGAGTCATTCCTTGTGCTGGTGCTTGTGTAGTGTCTCTCAGAGGTGTAAATCTACTACCACTGTCCTGCTTATTTTTCCCCTTCTTTAGTAATAAGAGGAGGAATTTGGATTTAAAATTACAAGCAAATTTGAAACTAGAAAGCTGTATGATAACAGTATGACCACTGTATTTTGTTTTTTCACATAAAAAAAGGAGATGAATGATCTTTCCTTTAGAGTCCAATGCTGGAAAGCCAAGCACTGTATGTCTTCATCAGTGATAAGGACCTAAATGATGAAGCAGCCTTATCAAAATCAGTACCTTTCTCCCATAGACTCTGAAGGAATAAGGATTTCATCCCTGGAAGTGAAACTGACTGTCAGTCAAGCAATCTGATTACATGGGGAAATGTAAACTAGAGGGAATGATTTAATAATATTGAATCTAGGCCATATATAAAAACTGCTTGAAAAATTATGTGATAGTATATTAATCTTTTTTTTTTTAATAATAGTTTGCAAATAACATATGTTTTCTGAGGCTCATGGCAAAATTTGAATTACAGTAGTTGATGATGAGTATGACTTTGTTCCAGGAGTGGCACAAATGATGCTTGTTTTTCCAGTATTGTGAGGGTTTCGGAATCTTGTCCTGTGAAATTTCAGTTCAAAGTAAATCCACATGGATTAAATCAGGAATATTGCCAAAATATTGACTGGGGTCAGACACCAGAGTGACTGGGGAAAAATGAAGAGGGAAGGAAGGAGTTGGGATTATAAAATTGAACCAAAAGATATATGGACTTATAAACCAGCAAAAGACAGTTAGAAAATATATTTATACTAAATTAAAACTTTATTGACTATTGTTCTCCAGACAACATGATCCGACGGACTATGGTTGCATACATGCAATGAAGTTGAACACAACAGTAGTTTAACATGGAATGTCAAACAAATTAATATAATGTATTAAATGAAATAAATTCATCTGTGTTGCTGCAAAATGAAACCAAGCTATGTATTTCCTTGGTCAATCTCTGTTCATCTAAGAGGCTATGCATTTGAAGAAACTGGTAGATTTCTTTAGCATATACTTCAAATAAATTAGTTAGAATTGTACTCTTTAAAAATCCTTTCAACTTCACTTGCATTTCAAACAAAATCTAAGTGTAAACACTAAAGTTGCAAGAGCTGTCTAGAAAGACCTACCTGTCAAACTCTGAATAGACATTACAGTTCAGTAAATGTGAATACTTAGAACAAGAAAAATACCAGTTACTGCAAAAGTCACGCAGGTATATTTTATTATTAATCCAGCACAAAGCATTTCTTCTAAGTTTCTCACATAAAAGACTAAAGCCTGCTTACAGTACTACATCTTCTATCATTCAAGCATCATTATTACCTATCAGGGAGATTGACTAGATGACCTAATGGGTCTTTTCCACCCCTAACTTCTACAAAAGAAAATCATTCACGCCAGTAAGAACACAGTTAGCTACATCTTGGGCTTGATCCTGTAGCCTTCATTCAGGAAAAAGTCCCACTGACTTAAAAAAGAGGTTTTCCAGAGCAAGACATCCAGGATCAGGCCCTTTTTACTTTTTAGTTTTTAAAAAAGCATCCATTTAGGATACATGGAAAATATTCTATAGAATTAAAAAAATATAATGACATGTGCTTCACTTGCATCGAAGGAATCGGAGAATGTAAACAACATAGTGGCCCACATCTTCCCAATATCCATGAAAAGTGTCAACTGCAAATAATCTGTGTGTGTTGATTTCTCAGCATATGCTTCTGAGGGTGTCTGGTGTATACCTTTACCTCCACACCCACACACATATGTACACCCTTAATATAAGTAAAGGTGTGATAAAATTCACTAAAGGCAGTTGCTTGCCTCTCTTAATGCTTAAATTGCAAGTGGCAGCAAACTGAGTTTTACCTGGTACTAATTAGACTGTATGTGAGCAGCTGGACACAAATATCAGTGTGGGCAAGAGAGTGTGGTTGCCGGTTCTACAACTGTGGAAACATCCCACTTACGCACATCACAAAAATCTACCTGTATGAAAGGCTGGAAACGCAGGTGACCAAAGAATTTCTTGGTGGGCCCTGTTTGAAATTTGAGTTGAACGGTTCAAAGGTTGCAGATTGTCCTCACAGGCATACTTTGACAACCTGGAGGACCACATAGGAAACTTTACCTTCAAAGTGCACTTTCTAAGAATGGAATGTTCTTGACAGGGAAATGATCAGAGGCAATCCTGGACTTTTTTTGCTTGTTGAATAGGAAAAATGTTTTCATCTTCAGGCAGCACTTCACCCTGACAAATGTGAGTTCAGTTATTATTGGGTTTTAGCATGACAGAAGATTCTTTAGAAACAAACATGATAGTACACACTTACACATACACTCAGATATTTACAGCCTTTCTAGAAAAACAGCCCCCTACCATAGTACTGACTACCTTTTTCCTTTTTTAGTATTTAAATCCTTTAAACCAGCTACATTAAATATCAATGTGTACTGTACCACCCCACACCAACCCCGCATCCCCCCCAAAACCAGCAAGTATTTCAAAAGTTTGTTTGCTTGTTTGTTTGTTTTTATGATTGTTAAAATCTCCTGCTTGAGATTGTTAAGTACCACCTCCACTGGAACAAGATCAGCACTGACTGCATCTTCCAATGCACGTCGTTTCATAGTTGAGCAAGTACTGCAGCTAGAAGCTTAGATCTCCAGGTCATCAGGTCGAGGCCTGCTGCTGGCTCGGCTGCTGGCCCTGCTGGGAGGCCTCTGGTCCACAATGGTGAGGGGTTGCAGCTCATGTCCCGACGCCAGTTTTTTAGTGTTCTGGTGCTCATCGGAGAAGTCAAAGGGCTGGGCGTGCGAGTTGGAGATGGTGCTGCCAGCCTGCCCCATTCTGTTCTGCTCCGCGCTGTAGTTGGCCCAGTTTTGCTCGCTGGCTTGCTTATTGTAGTTACGACAGGAGGAATTGTTCCTGTCTCCAGTAACGAGCTTGTACCCTGGGGGAGACATGGGAGACAAGGGGGCAGTTGGTGAGGAGCAGCCATTGTAATAAGCATATTTGGGGGAGCCACAGTCCTTGGAAGGGCTCATGGCACCGCTGTGGGAGTAGGGGTCGGTTTTCCCTTTCACACGATCCTTGACACCCTTGAAGAACACGTAGAAAAGCTCAATGATGTTTAAGGCAAGCGACACCAAGGACACGACCAGCATGAAGAGGATGAAGATGGTTTTTTCAGTTGGACGGGACAGGAAACAGTCCACTCTGTGCGGGCATGGATCTCGCTCGCAGGTGTAGATGGCATTCAGGCTAAACCCATAAATGTACCACTGTATCAGCAAGAAAGCCACCTCAAAGACAGATTTAAACAAGATGCTGATGATGTAAGTACGGAGCAGTCCCCCACGCATCTTCACTTTGCCATGCTCTTCGATTCCATACTTGAATTTCTTAATTTCTATTTGTTTGAGGTGCATATCCACATTCACACCATCATTTTGGACCACCTTAAGCTCTTCTTCTCTTTTGTTTAGCTTCTCTTCCTTCCTCATTACATAGAACACATGTGCCAGGTATAAAAGGGTAGGTACAGACACAAATATGATCTGCAGAACCCAGAAGCGTACGTGGGAGATGGGAAATGACTTGTCATAGCAGACGTTCTCACAACCAGGCTGTTGAGTGTTGCACCGGAAAGCAGACTGTTCATCTCCCCAGGCAGATTCGACTGCTGTCCCCAGTAGCAGGATTCGGAAAATAAAGAGGACAGACAGCCACACCTTCCCTCCTGCAGTAGAATAGGCTTGAACCTTGTCAAGAAGTTTTCCCAAGGCACTCCAATCACCCATCTTCACAAGATGCTGGCTAAAGAAGGACATAAAGCAAAAAAAAAAAGTCATGGTTAAGACAGAGCTTTAATACCTTGATACACTAAATCACATATCAATAATAGTATAGTAGCAATGTCAGGTTTATTTTAATTCTTGTGTTCTACGTGATCTGAAGAGAAACCAAAGTTTTAGTTAGTCTGCAGATGGAGTGGGAAGTCAGGGAACCTGAAAAGAGAACGTCATATATGTGTATCTCAGAGCACAATGAAAGAAGAGGTTTCTAATTTCTCTCCAGTTTACAAGAAGTCCATGACAACCCTCAGTTGCCGCTGTGGTTGGCTCAAATTCCGCAGTGGCAGCCTCAGTTCAATGACCTATACCTGCCTAAGGTAGAAAGTGACACACTGCTGAAACAGAGTGTGGAAATACTTAGTGGCAATACCTGAATATGCTAGGAACAAATGAAAGATTTCTTGCTTTCAGTGTGGATCGTTCATGGTAATTCTCATGTTCCCTCTTCAAGAGAATAAGAAAGCAAACCATGGTATAACCTAAATACAAAAGGTTATTCTAAGTTAATATTAGGGCTGGATACCTAAAATTTTATCATTGCGAAATGTGTGCAGTTTTCCCTAC